TTCAACGGCCCGTGTCGTATTAATAATCGAGAGATGTCCTTACTGTCTGTTATTGTACACCTTCGTGTTGAGCAGCGGCATAAAATGTCGGTCGGCAAAATGTTTTTACACGACTCCCGATGCTGTTTAATTGCCGACCGCAATTAGATTACAACGTGTAACACAATTCCTCTGCCAGATCCAACCGCCGGCTGGCTGGAGGAATTTATTTTTTAATGCGGTGTCCGCGCCAAGAATACGTTGATAACAGGAAAAAATTCCGGTCGGAGCTGGCACATTTTTCCGGGAACCGAGGGACACAGTTAATTTACAACCGGAAACGAGCGAAAGATGTTCCATGCCGCCTGGTCGTCCACTCGATATCGTTATTGGATTATTTACGAACGGAGCAGCGCGTACTATTCGAGACATCATAACCACGTGGACTCGGTTTCCTAGTAAAAATTAAAAAATCCAAACGACATAAACGCGGCTGTTCTTTTTCCGAACGATATTTATAAAATGCAACGGCCTCGGAAGTGGTTTAATGTCTTACGCGCATTGCCCCGTCGATACACCGGCAAAACTTTCATTCCGATGGCGTTTTATCACATCCGGTCAGAGCATTTGTTTTAGTACACGTCAGACGACGGACCACCGGCGACCGGGATCGGCACAGTGCAAAAGCTTTGTGAAAAGGCCATCGTCGCACGGGCAGCCGGTATTAATTACCGGACATTGTGCGCCCAACAAACGGGACGACCGGTTCTGTCGGGTGTCGTCGACATGTCTGACGGGTGTTTTTGGCGATTTCCAACACGATTAGAACGTGGACGATTAATAACAAACCAGTTTTTTTAGTTATCGTATTCCAACGGAGTCGGCGGTGGTCCAGCGCGCTTTATTTTTACATTTATTGGTTGTGTTATTCATCAAAAAATAATTTCGTTCATTAGTTTATCGCGGGTTCAAACGGAAACGGGTAATTCGACACATGACGTGTGAACGGTCGGAAAAATAACCGACCAGGAACGTGTTTACCAGATACCATAATGGTCCAAAGTCAGTTTTGGAGCAAATAACTAATAAAAAACACACATGTACACAGAGAAACGGTTGTTATCGCGGCGACCGTTTCTCTCGTTTTTGCAATACACTCGCTCTGCGCGTGCGAAGCACAACAGTTGACAGATAATAGTAAAAATACACACACACGCACACGAGACATTCCGAAGGAATTTTATTGGTTTTTTTTTTTATTTTTTATTAGATTTGTAGGTTTTATTTTCAATCCGCTATGTATTGGTTTTACAATGATTTATTGTTCCAAAGAGGTTTCTTGTTGTTTTATTTAGTATTTTTTTTTTTACATTTCAATCGTTCCTTTTAGGGGCCCCGAAAAAACTTCTAAAAATCTATTGTCAAGTTGTCGTACAAAAAACGGGTTAAGAGTTATGAAAGCGTACACTTTTTTCCACAATGCAAAATGCAATCCACCCGGATCTGCTGCCGTACAGTGACGTACTACACAACACTAGAAAATAGAAACTAATCGTCTGCGTGTCTATTCTTCTGTACACCGTTTGATTTGAACTGTTGCCGTTTCGTTTGACTTTTGTCCGTTTCTCTCTCTCTCTCCATCGAAGCTTGTGAACGAATAAGTCGTGTCGTTTCCGTTGGGTGCTCGTCGTGTTGATCACAATCGACTCGAAGTTTTGAGTGTATATGATTTTTTTGTTTGGTCGTCGGCGGAGTTTAATATTTTAATTAAGTCGTTAAGACCAATTGAAATGTTTAACCACCCGACGGGCAGTAGAAGAAATGCTCAACTGTGCAGCGAAATTATTGAATTAGAAACAGCTAAGCTGTTGCGAGGCCGTTTCCAATGGAATCACCGGAGATTCTCAAACGTTTAACGCGTTATTCTCAATGACCTCAACTATTTTGTGGAATCTGGCGGTGTCCAAAAGGACACGGGAAGAGTTATTTTAACGAGGCCCTAAACCATAAATTACAATGTTTATATTGTGCGCAACACCCGGTTCGGTGTTTACGGTATTTACATATAAAATAACTGAAACCAGTCTCTCTCGACCGACGGAAACAAATGTTTTTTTTTTTTTTTACACATTTGCGTTGTACTGCCGTTTGAGCAGATTCACTGGCCCGTCAACGTTTCCGTCAGCGCTCTAAAAATAATAATACCCCATTATGTTGTCGGTTTTTCGTCGAGTAAAACACGCATTTTTATATCACAAATATTGTTTGAATTCAAAAAAAAACAATTAATTAGCGCATGTTCATTTAGGACCAGAATGTTCCGGCACAACTCATCCCAACGGTCGTTACTACATATGTTTAACTCGGTGTGATTCTGGCGGTAGTTGACCAGACAATTATCACAACTCCGATCGTTCGACACATACAACCGCACTGAATTACAATAAATCCAGACGTTTTCACTTTTCACGTACCGAAAATCATTCCTCCGTCGTGTGATTAATGAACGATTGCCATTCATGCAAAGAGACGTGCACTGGGTTAAGGCACTGCATTGGCCGATCACGTATTGTGTGTTACACGGGGCGATAGGTTCGGTTGTTGTTTTTTGCCTGTAATTGGCTATCGATTGGCCGGTTACCAACGAGACCGCGTACTTGTAATAGTTATTTTTTCGTCGATTTCAACTTAATCAATGAAAATAAATAGAATCGCAACTACTTGCCGTTTCAACAAAATGAAAACGAAACGAATTTCTAGTGTTCGGTACACTCAGTTATCGGCTTAGGGTCAAGGTAATAAAAAATAACAACGTTTTAATGAACTTTTTTCTTTTACAGTAATAAAATGTTATTGCACCGTCGACTCGGCGGCGTTCATTTACAACATTGGGCGAGACAAAATTGTTTTTGCTTCTTTAATTTTCTTTTAACATCAACGGCTTTTTTATCTGTCCAACGCTAACGACTAATTTTTCACGTACTACTCGCTCGATTTTATTTGTCGATATCTGCCAAGGCTGGTCACCGGCTGATACGCGACGGGTCAATGCTTCTGACGGAGTCCCAACCCGACCGAGACCACAGTTATCTATAGCGTTTAAACTCGGTGGCCAGTTACTAGTCATATTGTACCTGCTTATGACGTGCAATAAAATGAGACGTAAGAATAAATTAATAATAAAAAAAAACCTACACGCGGTGCCAAAAAAGGAATAAAACTACACTGACACACGTCAGAGACGCGATTTTGAATTTTTTTACGTAGTAGGTCAAATGAAATGTCACAAAGTTGGAAATGAAAGGAATGCGGGGGCGCTGTGAAATGCGCTGCAGCGACAGGCCTGCAATCGTCTCCTACATATCGTCGTTGTGCATTGAACGTACATAAAATAATAACAATACAACACGGACGGAGAGAACGACTTTGTCGTTGAAACGGGCCAGCGAGGTTAGGCGAAGGCAAAAAATAAAACTGGCGACGACTGATATAACATGTATATGCGATTAAAAAAATGTTTTCTCCTTTTTAAACACAACAGCTGCCGTTGCCGCCGGTTCGAGTAGTGTTGGTGCCGTCGTCGCGGCAGCAAAGTCGTCACCGGAAACGCGAGGTCGTTCACCCGACTCCGAGCCGCCTTCCTCGTGTTCTACATAGCTCACGCACACATCACATCCACCACGTATTACTAAGCTCCTTTTTCTTCGGCGGCCTCAACCGGATACGCACAATATACACACACAACCGTGTACACTCGACCATATACACACACACACACACACACACACACACACACACACACATATATATATATGCGTGTGTGTCTACCATGCAGCGTTGTTCCCGATGCCCTTACATATTATTACTGTTAGCGAAATTACAGCACACGTCCGCGTGTTCCTCCACTAGGTTGCCATGCGAATATGCGTTTAACTGACGGTCTTTGCGGCGGTAGACGAGCGACGTCGGGGAGGGAGTGAAACTCGGGGAAAACCATGTGCGACGGGAAGGACAGGGGCGGAACATTCTGACCTAGGACCACCGTCGTTACGTGGGGGCGCACGTCACGCGAACCGGTCGGGCGTGACGAGAATTCTTAGGTGGCAGCGACTGCTCCATTTTCGATTTCGCCGTCCGAGCTTTACCCTATTCACCTTCAAATACCCCAAGACAAACCGACCGGAAACAATTGTCTACTATAAATATATATTTTTAGCGACTCGTTTTTTAGACAGTGGATTCTGCGAAAACCAATGACACCGCACTAAAATATTTTTGCTCGTGATTTGTTCACTGTTCAACGGGTCTCGTTTTTTTATGTTTTTTTTTTTCGTAAATGCAAAATCATTTGGTTTTTAATTTATGGCTGGGAGGTTACTGCTAATAACTTTGAATGGAGGCAGTAAACTCACTTCTATGTTTGCGGACAGAAATCCTTTGCTGAACAAATCTCTTGTACTATAGTTAAACGACATTGTCAATTTGTGTTTTTTTTTAACCATTAAATGTACAGTGTTCAAGGCTACTTTCAGGATAATATTCATCTTCATCCCGCGATATTTTCTTAAACAAATGTCGCTTTCTTTTAGTCCGACTGGCCGAGATATATTTCAGGTATTATTCAGGTATATATTTAGGTGTTTCTAAATTTTTACTAATTAATTAAAACTTAAAATTTTAACAGGGGAAGAAAAAGTAAATAGATAAAAAATTTAGTTTGATAAACTTTGAAAAGTGACATATACCACTTAGGCAACAAATCAAATTTGTCTCTATCGAGTTACAAAGAGCTTATTAAAATATTATACTGTGCCAAGCAAAATGTTCACGTGTTATTCCTAATTGGTATACTGAAAGTGAGAAAATAACTAATACGGTTTTATTAAATAAATCATTTTAAGCATCTCCACGGAGACATATGAATTAAGATTTTGCAAAAACTTAAATATACTCTATGAAAACGTTACCGGTTGATAAATGAAAAAGGAGAGGTTTTATAGAACATCGTAGTATCAGAATAGTTTTATAGTATAATTGTATATGATTTATTGTCAAATAATAATAATGGTACATACAAAGTTGTATCTATGTATAAATAAAACACTAAAAAAAAAAATGTTTAACGTAGAAAAAAATCTTTGACTTGATACACCCCCTGACGTCGTCAACCGAGTCCCACGTCCAGTGACATCATAACGACAAAACCCACGACGCAACACCAACTGGCCAACTTTCCATTGCCGCTGCAACAAATATATCATAGAAAATTAGTCATTACAATAGGAAAACGATATTACGATGTATAGGAGTGTTTTGATGATTAACGAGCGGGAAGAGCGTCAAGTCGTTTCCGCAACGGTAATGTCGTTTGAACGCGAGGAACAAATGGAAAACGTGCGGTGTTTTTTTTATCGTTACGGCGGCCGAGGAGCGTTTGGCATTGACACAAACCGTTCAAAGGAAAATGTACGCGTGGGAGTAGCGGTAATGTAAAAGCGTTGACCGCATTGGACGCGCGATGATTGCACCGAGATCGCACAAAGAGCGAGTAAGGTATTACCCGTGTAGTATTCACCGCGAGCAATGCCGTGCGGAGGAAAAATCGTGTACGCCGTTTGGTCGGACCGCGTGATAACCCTGGGACGAACGTCACGTCCCTGCGTTACCCGTGGCCTCGGCGGCGCCGTTTCGGTCACAAGGCCACGGCTGGACGGCTCATGCATCGAGCCCGGTGATCTGGTTGCGGCGGTCCATTCATAAAGCATGAGCGCCGGACGGTCCGCACAACAGCAATAGTAGTCGGCAGAGGTCGCTGGAGGCGCCTGCCACTGGAGTGCGCGCACCGCCGCTGTGGACAGCCGAAGGAACCGCGGGCGAGAGAGAGAGAGTGGTGGTGCGCGTGTATACGCTGCATTCCTGGCACGAAGAGATTACATACCATAGGAGTTTTACAGTTACATGACCCCCAGCGAGAAGCCATTGAGATATTATGTATACACGTATTATATTATCATCGTTGTACGCGCGAGTGCAACGGAGGCTTCACGGTCGCCACGAACTATAGAGAAATAGACAAAACTAGGCGGTTTTACAGGCGACATTAGTAGATTTTCAACACGGTTTCTCGAGTGTTTTGGGTGTCGTAGAATCGCAGAGGTAACCGACATAACCACGAGAAACACTTACCTGGAATTTGACTCGGGTATGATATCGTTGACGACCACGTAGATCATGGCGCCCGCGGCGAACGCCAGTGCGTAGGGCAGCAGAGGTTGGATTGTGGATACGGCCAATATGCCCAGTAGGCCTGCAACGGGCTCGACCATTCCGCTAAGTTGACCGTACCTGCGAAGAAAATAAAAAATGACCGCTATAAGTGTAGATTTATATGGTATTATAATGTATAGGATGAAAAAATACGATTCCGGAGGTCGAAAACGTTTTTTTATAGAGGCACATTTGATGTGAATATAAAATTTAAGCGTTGTTCGCATTTTTTATCGTAACAGTACTACGATTACTTGTACGTTACAAAATGCACACTTGTAATTATAGATTACACAATTTCAATAATTTCAACTTTTATTCGTAAAGGTAGGCAAAATAATCAAAAAAACAAAACGCTGTAGAGAATTTTGATTTTTGTTGAAAACATTGTGTGTCCAGCCAGATGCTGTACGTGTGTGTGATAATTATTTTGTAACACGTTGAGAATAAGCAATTTCTTTGTACACAACCCGTCGAAAGTCCGTTCAGTTAGCCTTAATTTGTACAGTATAACGGACGGCCTAAAACATGTGCGAGTTATTCGCATCTTATCTCTTTTTTCTCTCCGACGAACAAAAAATGTGTAGAACATAATTTCATACAGAAAAAAAAGTAAAACAATAATAAAAAATGTCTGAATTTTACATTCACGCAGTGGTCATTACTTCAGATCACCGTGTTCGTTACAAGTCTACACTTTATCATCACGTGTATACGAAAATCGGTTATCAGAATTCCATGCGGCGCATACGTCAATTGAGTGCAGCCGATTTTATAGACAATTCGTATTTATTTGGAATGGAAAGAGAAAATTTATAAACGCGCAGAGTCAAATGTAAAAGGTTTTTATTATTTTTTGCAACGTTCGACTTTTTGATTTATGGTATTGTGGTCGTCGGCACGCTCGAAAGTAGAAACTTACTGCGGGACGGAAATCCGGATTCCCATAATAGCGACTTGTAGAATGTTTATCTGTCCACACACACACACACACACGAAACTCGGCAATCAGTAATTAGTCGAATGCATTTATTGTGCAAGCTTTGTTTGAGTAGTATATATGTAATTTTGTGTTTTGTTTTTAACGGTAAAAACCACTATTGATTCGTTAAAGGCATTATTATTTTTCAATATTTGTTTAGTCAGTCGACGATTAAGTACAAAAAACAGCAGTCTCGTGTTGGAGGCGTTAAAGGCAAACTGACGTCTTGTTGGTTTTACGAAATGCTGTGCGTCGGCAAGCGTGACGCGGTATGAATAAAACGATTAACGTGTCCGCAGTACACGAGAGCAACATATTGTTGTAAAGGTAAAGAAACACGGTTCAATAGGTTTTTTTCCTTACCAAAAGCTTTTCCATTTGGAACATCCGGCCGCTTGCAAAGGAAGACTAACGGCCAATCCTTCCGGAAAGTTTTGTATGCCGATTCCCATGGCAAGGTTCCTGCAACAGAAAAATATAAAAAACGTCATTAGTGTTCAGCGGGTGCGATATTTTTTAGGGATATTTTATTTTTCACAACATCATAACTCGGCATCACAGCGCGAGCCCAGAAGCCGTAAGACCCCACGTCTCAAAATGATAGTTCGGTTTCATGTGTGTGTGTGTGTGTGTGTGCATGGAAACAAGCGAGCAGACATTCTGGGAATGCGCGGAATGCGGTGGATAAAAATCTCGTTGTCCTGGTTCAACGTGCCCACAATCGCCGAGTACGGCCTATAGCATAAAATATATTATATATATACACTTGACATGAACGGTGTGATTTTTCTCCGAACGGCATTCACGAGCCGTTTGTGCAGTGTGCAACAGGCACGAACAGCATCCAGCTCCGTGGGGATGACCGTAAACCCTTTTCGGCAATAAAAATAATCGGCGTCACGAGGGGCCAGCCCACATGAATGAACCACTCTCGTTTTAATGAACGAATGCGGTCAAAGTCTTAACAATGCATTCAAACCTATACACGATAATATTACAAATTATTCGTCTGTAGGCAAGACGACAACGATTCTCGTGAGCCAATAAAAATATCGTTAAAATCATAACTATAAAGGCGTCATGACTTTTGTGGGACAACATAAACGTTTCGAAGACTTTCTTTGGTATCGGGAGGTATCCACTAACCATTGAAGAGATCTTACAGAGGACTTCAACACCATACCCAACAACTCTCATAAGCCACTGCGCGTCCGGACGGACATTAGGTATGAGATGTCGCGGTGAGAATGAACAAAGAAACGCGACACACCGTTAACAGTAACGGATCTGCAGTGGCGGCAGTCCAAGTGAATGAACCGCGTTTAACATATTATATGGTGTGGCGATTGATAAGTTTCTTAGAGAGAGTGCCTGTACAAGTGTATATACATGTAACGCCGGAATGTCGAAGAAAGAATGGAGCGAAAAATATGTACACATACACATATTTTTACACAAAAATGATGATGGTAACGATGATAACCCTTCACCTACATTATGAACGAACAAGGCTCAGTGACCGACAGTTATTGATAATAATAATAAAAAATAAAGAAAAAAAAAATCGCGTGGTTGCATAACTTCACACGGGTTGGCAACGCGACGGACTCTCATGAATGGGCTCCTCTCCGGCGTAGTAAAAAAAAAATACATACATACATATATATATATATAATTATTGTATAATTTAAAGAACACATTTCCGCTCGATAATACACTGTAGCTCCGAGTGACTTATCCGATTTTGTAAATCCTTTAGTTGACGCACCACTCAGATTTCGCATGACCTCGTACGTATAAGCTATGAAAAAAAGTTATGTTCGGCAGCTGTCTTTCGTGAAGTAAGTACCAAAGAATTTTCAAAAAAAAAAAAAGTTAATTAGATAAGTAGTGTTGTCCAAGAACAGTATTCTCAGATAATTAAATTTAACATTAAAACCGTTTAAAATACATGTTTTATTATCAAAAAGCGGTTTTGGGCAATTTTAAAACGATACTTATAGATTTATATATTTGACAGACTACGGTAATGTATGTGCCAACGACCTAAAAAAATAGAACAGCTGTTTTATCGCAATTCTCGCACGTGGTTATCGCTTACTAGTTGCGCTTTGTGAGAAATATGTTATTGACTTGTCTTGAACCTATTCAAGTACAATCGAATGACATTTACGGTATAAAATGCGACTTTTGCACGTCGCTAATTTATCAATAAACAATTGCACGTCGTAGAAAGTGTAAAATATGACAGTTGACGCGTCCAATGTATTAGGAGGTGTATTGGGTTAATCTCATTGTTTTTTACATAAATTTTTTCTTTGTTTGATATTTCGATAATTTGTACCGAATGGATAACTTAATATTCATCACGTCCAACGACTCCGCGACGCCCAGTCTTTTCTTCTCTTCTTTCAACAGATTTTGTTCTTTCGCATTAATTCGTGACCGAACTCGTAATGAACGAGGTAAAATAAGTCACAGTGAAAATAAATAGCGCTTTTGAAATGTCACGTGCCATAAGTCCAACGGGAGTACACACTCTCTTCGGGCTATATATATATATATATATGTACATGCCAGATTCTTAACCGAAAACATAATTACGGTAAGGTGATGAAAAAACAACAGGAGAGGAAAAAAAAGAGACGTCAACGGGAAATATTCACAATCCGTAGATTAAAAAAATCAAAAACCTATTGAGTTTTATGGTTCCCTCCGTATGCTCGTGTACAGCTCTTACATAATAAATCCGTTTGGAATACTTGGTGGTTCAACACAATAGCATATGCAGCTTGGTCTCTGTCTTCATATCTTCCTCCACACCTTTCACGTCGGACGTGATGCATTTCGTACGCATATTTCTCACGGGCTACACGCCTCTGTACAATAAACCAATACGCCGTGGTAAAGATTTTTTGTTTAAAGTTTTTACACGACACATTAGACTAGAAATATATGAAAACGAACGGCGAAATTTTGTAGATAAAATTCGCTGTTATCTTGTCGTTGACAAAATGTTTGATTCTTTCAAAAAAGTTGTCTCAGACGACGATTTGCGCACACAGTGGAGTGTGTGGATTTAAAGATAGGGGAAAGATCTCGAGAAATCCGATCAATTTTACAGTTCTCGTATAACTATACGGAGTGAACGTGCGCATAGTATAAAAACGATTTGTTTGCATGAATTCTCTCGACCAACACCTTTACGTGATAATTTTAAACTCGAACGGTCGGAGTTTTGCACAAATTTAACTTTGTCTCCAGCCATAATATTTGTTTTGTCGATAAGTGATATCCATCGAACCGCACAAAAGTATGTCCACGGCTTGTGTGTATTTATCACATTGTTGTACTTATAATAGTGGACGAAGAATGTATGATTTATGTTATGTCAAAAAGTCGGCATAATATTTGGTTCATCGAACTAACTAACAATAGGTCTACGCGATGTCAGCAGGCAAATACTGATAAAATGACAAATTACGAAAAAACCTATCACGCCGTCATGGATGATAAGGTCCGTGCGGGACTGATAACGCCATGACACAATATGATGGTTTTTATCGGTTTCAAAAACAAGCATCAAGTCTCCTGAACAACATATTTTATTCGTTGACGAGGGTAAAATTTGATAAGTTTGCCTTTAGACTAAATTTTGTACCGTTAGAATGAGAGTGAGGTGGCAATCGATAGTGGACCGAGAATCAAAGGTTAAAAATGAATCCGTCACCCATTTTAGGAAGGAATTACATGCTGCCCAATTCAGAGAGTCTTGCGATAGGTCAGGAATGAATTCAGAATATTTTACTTATCTTAGAATGTATCAGTAAGTTATACAAGCACAGGACATAGGTAATATTATGTGGAGGTAAAACCATGATGAAATGAATGAATCAATTTCATTAGGCAGTGAAGTTGGAAGTCACTGTTTAGAATGCTTTTATTTCTGAGGTGTCAACGTTTTTCATTTCAGAATGTAAATTTAATTCACTAATTAAGTAATTTTTGGAACTTTTTATATGACACGTGTCGTATGGTTTTATAATCTAGACTGTGGTAAGTTTTTTATGGCTCTCAGGTCAATTTTATTTATGCAATCTACCACGTATAAATGCAAGAATATAAGCTTTAAAAATGTGCATTCACAAATACAAACTGTTCAGAAATTCCAAATGTAGCGTGTAAAAAATACCTCGAAAAATAACAAATAATTATTCAAAAATATGTATAGCAACAATATACATAAACCAGTTTTACCACGAAATAAACAAAATACAAATAGACAGGATAAATAAAAAAAATAACACATATACACAAATGAAAATTATTCTAGATACCTTAAAGTAAGCGTTGTGCTTACTTGCAAAACTGCTCGGATTTTGTTTTCTAAAGTTATCAATCTTAATTTATAAATATGTTACTATTTATCAACTTAACGCATGAATAATTGAAGTTCTCTAAATAATCATTGAAACAACTATGCACAAAAATCCAATAATTTAGAAAAAAAATCAACAGACAGGAGTTAAAAAAAAACACTTTAACTGTTTTATTATAAAAGACCTCTATGGAACAGCAATGAAAATCAATCATTATTTAATTAGTAATTTTAAAGTTAGTCAAAAAATTAAATACTGATAGCTATTTTTTTTAAATGATAATATCTATCAATAGGATCTCAACATCATAGAGCAAAATTGCATCCGTATTAAAAACTAATAATTTTTTTTTTATACAAATTATTTACCAACTAAAGCAAAAACTCTAAAATAAGACTGGACTATTTGGATGGAAACTGAAACACCACTGAATGATATTTCAATGAAATATACCAAATTAATCATCAACATTGACACCAACTATTTAGGTTAATTTGGTTTTGTTTATTGAAAATGATTTATGCATCGTATCATAAAGAGAAAAGCTGAAAGTGCATTATGTTTTAAAAATTAATTATTTTAATTTAAATTGTCGTGTTGCTTATTACACGAGTTAGTTATACTTTCTTTTCTATGATATACTGACCGTACAAGAATTGACAGGTTGTGCTTCAATAATTCACTACCCAAGAATTTACCAACTGATTGTCATTTATTAACATAGTCCAAGGGTATTTAATTACAATGTCACCAAATAAACCGCTACATACAGATTCCTATCAAAGAATTTTTAGAAAGTGATTTTCTTTTATTTAAATATTGACCGGTTTCAATTTTTTGGGTTACTTTTAATTTGGCGTGCAAAGCTTTTTCACGATGTCTAGAAATATAATGCAATTTTTTTTAGAATTTTTCTTCTGCTTCATTAATCAGTGGCAAATTTTTTGTCAAAATCTTAAGCGTTATTGATACATTAAAGACTTAAGAGATCATGTGTAGATTCAAAAATCGTTTTCTTTTATAACGGTAAACGTAATTAAACCTTTATTTTCATTAAAAGTGTAAATCTTTATTTTATTTTGC